CTCGCCGAGGTTCTTCACATGGATAAGTCTTTCATTTTTGAAGCTGAACGACATCTGGGTATCGCTGCACCCTCACTCCAAAAAGTCTCTGTGCTCACGACCCCCTCCCCTCTCCCCGAGGTTAATAGGACCTCCCTGTTGTGTTCATCATAACGATGGCGTGCTCTGTTGCCAACGTGGACGCAGGAGCGCCCCAACGCCCCATGAGAAATCCACTGTAGGGACGAAATGAGCATGCAGAAAAGATTTGTTAGAATTCACTCACCTCAATACGTTTACGCAGTTGCTCCTCGCCGTATGGACTTTCCCACTCTTTTCGTTCCACATTTTTGTTTTCAATCGCTCCAAAGTCCAAATCTGCCACGAGCGACTCCATGACATCCAGTGGTTCCGAGTCAACAATACACAACGACATACTATGAAAAGCTGAAGATGAGATCAAGCTTCCTGGTTTTGACTTGGTACAGAATAAAGGAATGGTCATCATCGTGGCGTAAGGGTGGAGTCAGACCCAACATTCCGCTTTTCTCTGCGATGCCCTCTCTTCCGACGACAGTGAAGAGGATGGCACATCAACGAACATATTGTTGTAGGCCTGGCCACATGGAATGGCCCTCATGCGATTCTACAGGCGGTCCAAGAAAGAGTCACTTCGACCGAGTCACATATCAGCAAAGTTTTTGCAGCCCAGAGAGAAGATGTGGATACGAGTACCAGGGCGGAAGATACCCAAGATGTTCCTCGATAAGCAGGAGCTGGCCCTCGCCCATCACCTTCATGTACACCAAAATATGAGGTCATCTCCAGTCGCAGCCTGACTGGAGAAGACCTTTGGAATTCATGTCACCTCCAAACAGCTGCGAAACTTCTAGTGTGGAGTCACCCATGGGTAGCTACCTGGAGACCAGTACTCTCAATCTGGAAGACCTCCAACATCGAGCAGCTCCGACAACGTCGCTACGGTCTAGGACATCATCTTCACCGCAGTCGTCAAGGAGCGGGTTGATGGTATGGAAAGGAGCGGGTTGATGGTATGGACCGGAGGTACCTGGAATGGAAAGACCAATATTTTCTTCGTGGACCCCGGACTGAAGGTGAGCGCTGGCGGTTACATCGAGCAACTCGAAGAATATCCTCCCCACATGTCGTCGCCCGTACCTTCTTGGAAACTTTGTACTGCTACAGCATTGGGTGCCACCACATGGAATCGAAGGGCGTTGGAGAAACTCTCGCCTACTTGGAATGGAAGGGGGCTGAGTACCTAAAGAAGATGGAATATCCAAGTAGGTCACCTGACCTGAATCCCCTCAATTACCCGGTTCGGGCGGAGTTCAATAGGGTGGTCTACGGTGGCGGAGAAATCGACTATCTCGCTGATCTCAGGCACCACATCGCGGTCGCGTGCCAGAATCTCTCGATGGCGCTCGTCCAGAAGGCTGTGGCGGAGTTTCGTAATAGTATTTAATACTCTTTAATACTCTTATTATACTCTTTAATATGGTAGTAGGAATGCGCTTAGAATTTATAATGTGTAACTTATAGCGCCTTATAGCGCAAGTCAATGAAGAAAAGTGACTTTTTTGCCCCCCCCCTGCATACGTCATTATTAAGGCAAGATGAGACTACTCACATGTTGGAACTGTACCATTCTTTGTGAAATTTGAGCAAAGCCTCACGAGGATGAATACCTTTCTCCTGTGGATCGTCAAGTAGTGTTTTCTAGAAAGGAGCTGTACAAGGAAGCTAAGAAATGGAAAAGCTTCTATTTTCTATGTGAATTATTTCTTACCAACCTTATTTCCCGTTGAAAATTTCCTGAAATCGTGACCTGGCTTCGAGAGATAACTGAAAGCAGCTAATGTATTGAAAGACGAGGCAGGCGCATTTCACGCCGATGGTAGGTCGAACTAGTGTAACCATTGGCGCTTTCTAGCATTGAGGAGGAACCGCGATAGTGAAGTAAGCACAACGGTACGCTCAGCTCTGCGCACACGACCAGCGTGAAGTGCGCTTTTGATGGTACAGTCGTGAAATGATGAATTTTTAGTGTTGTTTGTAGTTTGTACTACATTACGATCTTTCTCTCTTCTGTCTGTTCAACACATTCAAAGATCTCCTAAAGAAAATTTCTTATCATGAGTACTGGTACATACTTACAACATCACTTCATTTTCTCGCTTATCGTCGTTATTGAGATTCATCGTATGTTCTGAGTCAACAGCGCGTACCTGAATGAAAGCGCTCATAAAAGTAGCTCACGAGCTGCACCTAGGCTTCGCGACGTAGTGACCAGCTGGCCATGACACAGCCCGTAACCCGTAGAAGTAGCAGGTGTTGGCTCCAGAATTCATTTGAACGTGAAGGTGGCCAAAGCTTTGGATACGTATTGCCGTCCAGAGGAAATTCAAGCAAGGCCTTGGCAAGCAAAAGACATGATGACAGTTGCTTCACATGGCAGTGTTTTGCGACAAAACCAGCGTAGCCACGTCTGAATGGAGCGTGCAGCTACGCCAATCCCATTTCCAGATTATGCATAGATTGCAAGTAAGCATTGCTGTTGATCAGCCCTCAGATCACCCCCCAATACGTGTTGCTGTTGTGTCAATACCGGCACAGTCTGACTTCCTACTCATTTTTCGGGACTTCGAGAATGTTCAGAAATGGTCGTGGATACGTATTGCCGTCCAGAGAAAATTCTAGTATAATAGATATCAGAATAAGCCCACTCTATACGGTACATTGAGAACGGGTTCTTAGAAGCTTGGAGTTTTCTTCAGAAAATCCCCATCGCGATTATCTCATCAACCCCGGGAATTTCAGAAACAATTCAAGTGGTTTTTATGGACAGGAAATCTTCTAATATTTGACATTGGCTTCGGATTTGTAAACAATTAGGTTTCGAGGAAGTTTTGAGGCGCGCGTATTTGAATACAACGGTCCGTAGGTTGGGTGTAGATCCACACAGCCATTCTCTCTACTAGGAATTTCCGAAAAGAAGTGAGGATCCTTGACTCGCTCAGTTAACACGCCAGTGGTGGAAAATAGGGGATAATCGTTATAATTTTTGCAATTTCCACCTGCTCAAAGTTGGCTTTATGGCTTTCCATGTTAGCTGAAGTAACACATGTATTAGGACCCCGACGCTCATCTGAACTAAATCCCCGTAAATAGAGCAATTTTGCTGGGATCCTGTCTTGTGAATCCACGGAAAGTTTGCAGTTTCGCTAGTACAGAAATTCTGTGCTCAGAGGCCAGGGAGAATTTTCAACTAGACATCGGTTTTCTTCCTCGTAGGTGCTGAAAGAAAACGCAAATAAAAATTCGAAAAAACAGCAAGCCTTATAAGGGGGGGGGGTGGTCGCATCAATCCACATTTTAGAGGGGAGTGTATGGACTCGACCAAAATCTTCAACTAATGATGTGCCCTGGTTCGAGGGAAGGGAAGGGCGCCAGTGGCCTAACGACGCAGACTGGTATCAAACGGCGCCGGGGCGCAAGCGGCGCCCATCAATTCGTCCGTGGCTGTATTCACGTCTACCTTATGGAGCGCTGCTGCAGTCATAACGCGTTACAGTGTATCGACACCTCGCAATCAACGGAGCCGTGTCAAGAAGCGTAGTATGAGCTCACCCGTGGCGCTCTCACCACTGGTTGTTTCCTTTCCATATCGACCATATCACCACTGGCAGAGTAAGTCAACCGGACGCGGGCTCATTCAGCCAGTGGTGATCGTTGACAACGCCCCGAATGATTGCGACCCTATCAACTATAGGAGCAGTTTCACAATCATTTCTTTCAAATTCGTCCATCTACGTTTCAAATGGTCCATACCTCTCTTTCGGTTGCACTTTCGGTGAATTTCGGACAGAGGAAGAACTGCACAAGGCGGTCGAGTGCTTCCTAAATGGGAAAACTAGGAAATCCTTTCTCAAGTCTGTCTTCCGAAGCACACTTCGCTCAGCATTGAAGTAATCATCTCAGTAGCCTACTTCACCGTCAACGAAGTTCGCGACTATGCGCATAATGTTGCAATAGTGCAGGTGATACAAATTACGCAATGCTCGGAATTGAAGGGGTCTTACTCAGCTTTCTCTCCCCATATCCTCTGCGCTTCTTCATGGTGGGTTATTTAGCGCCTCATTCATATTTGGACCCTACTATCCATGAGTTCTCATCGCCAAATGAGCCCTTTAGTTTCAAGTCCAATAATGATTCTTGCAAGTGGTAGCCGTGTGTAGGGGCGTGAATTGGAGCGAAGAACAGCCTCCCCCACTAATGTTGCAGACTTGGGATGAGATTATTGTTTGGAAAGCGACGGCTCGGAAGCCCTCCACATCCCCTCACACTCTATCGTTTGCAGGTATTATAAGTGCACTACCGCGCCTATGTCCTTTTGCCCGCGCCCAGGCTCCTCTGACCACTATGCGGCGCGAGGGGACCGCATTCGGCTTTTCATAGATGTGCCGACCCATCTAGGTAGCCTTTTCTCGAGTTGACACGTTTTAGGATGGTGGCTAGACGATCTTACTCCAGCTTCACAGGCGTTCACAAGTTTTACCATGGTGAGATTCGTAAACCGGAACTAGGGAAGCAATGTTAGTACAAAATGCCCCCCCGCGCTAAACAGCGCCCCACTATGCTGCTTCCACTTTTAAAAAGAACGTGACGAAATGTGCTGCTCATGTGCGATAAGCTTAAAACGAAAGCGATTAAATTGATTTTTGCAGTGTACCAGTCACAGAACCGCTTGATGGGACGGTTTCTGCAGAAATTCCAGGAAATCGCCCACCTTCAATTTGTCCGGCTTTATATAGAAATGGTAATTTGTGTGGTCGTGGACTGTGCGAGCGTTCCAGTCTCCGCCGTTCTCGGTAATAAACTGAAACGTTCAAAAATTAGATCATTGATAAGATTTCTATACGATTACTTTAGAATCCTGAACAGATTATCACAAGAATGCTGAGTTATGGGCAAAAGTCGGACCACGGACGGGATTCGAACCTCTTCTGCTTTCCGTGCAGCTGCGTTCCCTATTACGCTACCGGGGCCACTTTTGACCACTCAGCTCAATGGCTATTTGTGCCATTGCCTTCGAGCACTCACACGTTCAACGTGATGAGCCGGTTAGCCGATATCGGCAGTGAACCGCAAGGCTGAAGGCTTTTACAAGTTTCAAGCTGTTATTGTTTAGTAACTGCTGTTTAACGCCGCAGTACGCGATCCGAAAGCTATCACAAGAATGCTGAGTTATGGGCAAAAGTCGGACCACGGACGGGATTCGAACCCGCATCTTCTGCTTACCGTGCAGCTGCGTTCCCTATTACGCTACCGGGGCCACTTTTGACCACTGCATTGCGGTTCACGGCTAACCGGCTCATCACGTTGAACGTGTGAGTGCTCGAAGGCAATGGCACAAATAGCCATTGAGCTGGCAAGGGCAACAAACAGCCATTGAGCTGA